GGTTTCAGGGTTTCGGGTATGGGGCTTCGGGTATGGAGTTTAGGGTTTCCGGTTTAGGGTTTCGGGTTTAAGGTTTCGGGCTTAGGGTTTCGGGTTTAGGGTTTCGGGTTTCGGGTTTAGGGTTTCGGGTATGGGGTTTCGGGTTTAGGGCTTAGGGTTTCGGGTTTAGGGTTTCGGGTTTAGGGTTTCGGGTTTAGGGGTCTAGGGTTTAGGTTTTAGGTTTCAGGGTTTCGGGTATGGGGTTTCGGGTATGGAGTTTAGGGTTTCGGGTTTAGGGTCTAGAGTTTCGGGTATGGGGTTTAGGGTTTAGTGTTTCGGGTATAAGGTTTAGGGTATAGGGTTTGTTGTAGAGTGCATCGTAGTATGGCGATTGGCTGCTGGAGCCTGACAACGGAAGGCTTTTTCTTTATTTCTGTTTCTTTCCCACCGCACGCCGTCTGAGGCGGGCAATCCGCCCAAAACTATTCCCTGGGCGGCCTAAGCCTTGAGTTTAGGGTATAGGGTTTAGGGTGCAGTATAGGGTTCAGGGGCAGAAACCGCATTGATCTGAAGAGTAAGTGGAAGACTTGCCATACAAACGAACATCACCATGAACTGCCATGAACATCACCAGATGCAACGTCGAATTGCAATCATCTTTATCGGCACAAACATCATCAACGTGAGCGTCTTCAGCATCACCATCATGAATCCCCTCCCCGTCTTTATCATCCTGCCTCAATTCTTGCTGCTCGTCGTCGTCGCCGTTTATCAAAAACCCTCGCCAATCTCACCGCATCGTCCCTCTGTGTTTACTTATCGACACCACAGCCATCACGATCAAAATCGTCCGCGGCATCACTGCAGGAATTGTCCACTCTATTAAATCGAGTGGACCCCGATTCTTTTAAACCCTGGGGCTGTATTAATGAGAGCCCGGTCAAAACGGTCAAACCTTGTGAGCTGCGGGAGGGGTGGTACAGCCAAAGGTTTCTCTTGAAAATGATGGTATGTCCAACAAGCCACAATAAACAGTCTTCATTGTAGCTGATGTTCATAGGCTAACCAATCTCATGGCCAGTTTGGCTGTGTCTCCATAATCGAGCAACCGGGTAACCAGCAAACAATTGCATTGAAAGAATATGTAGAACATTGATATGGACCTTGCAGTATATAAGTTTGATAATCAGTCCTTCCAGATATAGCAGCTTTTATGTAAACCCTGAAAGGTTCACGGATACTCATCTACGCAGCTACGGAGATTTTTAGTGAACCCCAGAAAGTCGGAACATGGATTTAGGATGATTCGCGCTGGGATTCCCTATACTTTACCTTAAAGGGCATGATGATAATGATGCTCCAACTTTCTAGCTTAAACCCTAAACCCTAAAAACCCTAAAAACCCTAAAACCCTAAAGCCCTAAAGCCCTAAACCCCTAAAACCCAAAACCCTCGACCCTAAACCCTAAACCCTAAACCCCTAAACCCTAAACCGTGGCTACTGTACTAAGAAACCGTTGATGACAGCAGTGTGGGCCCCTAATATGGACCCTTAGGCCTTTCTAGGGACCCTTTAAGGGTAAATCTTGGGTATATAGTAGGTGTATAAGAATCCCAGGGTTAAGGGCCCATACTAGAGGCCCATGGGTTCAACCTCCCTAAACCCTAAACCCTAAACCCTAAACCCCAAACCCTGAACCCTAAACCCAAAACCCAAACCCCCTAATATTGACAGCTCCTGCAGTCGCTGGGCTGCATGCTTCGCTGCCAGGCCCAGCCGCCGCTCCTGAGGCTGAAACGAAGCACCGTTTAGGCTTTTAGGGTTTAGGTTTCCAGGGTTTA